CCCCCCCACCCCACCCCCAGCTACATGCCTGGGGTGGATTATGTACACCTAATCTGACATTTTATTTCACTGCTTGCTGTTTAGTTTGGGTAAAAGATTGGGTTTTGCTCAGTGGTAATTGGATGTTAACACAGGAGGGACATGATCTGAGATATAGCTAAGGCTTCTTGAGGAGACCAGGAAGTAATAGAAATAAAGATGAAATCAGAGCCAGACATTATTGGCTGGAAACACTGAGAGGAAAGAAGAAATGAGTACCTGATGGCTCCACAGAGTCTTGTGTATTCTTCTCTATTCCCACCACAACCACCATCGCTGTTAAAGAAAGTGGCTGGCTCCCATTGGGAAATCACTCTAAGGCAATTGGAATAAAAATACATAATATGATTTTGTGACAGAACGGATTAATGCTACCATGATTATTACCTACCAAAGCAAGCACAACAGTCAATTGCTTCAAGGGTGAAAAGTTTTTCCTTCTTCTTCTAAGCAGAGAAAGAAAACTCTTTCTTCCAAGTAAGATTTTAGTTTCTTTCTCTCTCTCTCATGCTCTCCCTTCTAAGGAAGCAAAGGAAATGCCTTCCTTCCAGCAATGCCAAGGCCACTATATTTCTTTTCCTCTTCAGTTTCTCAGGTAGAAAAACTCTGTCTAATCAGTTTTTTTCTTTCCATTCAAAGTCCATGCCAGAAATACCAGACTCTTGTTCTCTCACCTCATTGTGTTGTGAGACCTACACCTTATAAGTACTTTACTTATGTATGCAAAAATCTTATAATATTGAAATGTTATAAATCGGGGCAAGACAAATGGATACTCACCACCCAAATCCATTGGAAGAGAAAATATTCATTGGGGCCTGTGTAGAAAATAAGAGAAGCCCCCTTTAATGGGGTTTCACAGGCTTTCTGCCATTATCAAAAAAGCCCTGGTAGCACTGGCATAGATATGGCTTCCACACAGCCATATAACCCAAAATATCAAGGCAGATAATTCACAGTATCTGCTTTGAATGGGATTATCTAAATCCACACTGTCATATAATCCAGTTCAATGTGGATTTTATACAGCTGTGTAGAAGGGGCCTTAGTAGCCATGGACAAGTAATAATGGCTGCACTTCTTTGCTCTGCAGACACTACTGATTCAAGATGTGAAACAGCCTTGGATATAGAATTATTCATTGTGCCATCCAACAAGCCAAGATCATAGGACTGAGGGACACCTCTTTGTGAGACCTTGTATCTAGGATTGTCTGAAACTATACAAAAATGTCTCAATTCCCAAGAGGCAGTGTTGGCTGGTGGGGCCCATGTTGGTGAGACAGTCAATCCAGGTTTCAATCCATAATTTAAAGGTGCTATACTGGATATACTGGGAAGGCTGAGCGAAGGAAGATAGATGCTTTTGAACTGTGGTGTTGGAGGAAAGTTCTGAGAGTGCCTTGGACTGCGAGAAGATCCAACCAGTCCATCCTCCAGGAAATAAAGCCCGACTGCTCATTGGAGGGAAGGATACTAGAGACAAAGTTGAAGTACTTTGGCCACATCATGAGGAGACAGCAAAGCCTAGAGAAGACAATTATGCTGGGGAAAGTGGAAGGCAAAAGGAAGAGGGGCCGACCAAGGGCAAGATGGATGGATGGCATCCTTGAAGTGACTGGACTGACCTTGAAGGAACTGGGGGTGGTGACGGCCGACAGGGAGTTCTGGCGTGGGCTGGTCCATGAGGTCACGAAGAGTCAGAGACGACTGAACGAATGAACAACAAATACTGGATAGGTTTAACAACTTGGACAGTTTCTTTCAATCTATTCAAAACCTGGCTTTTGACTCTGTTGTTTAATGGAACTACCAGTGGACCCTGCTAGGATATGAGAAGTCTGGAGCTAAACTTTACTGTCCAGTTGTCACTACAGTTTTATTGTTTTAATGATGGCTTATGTATTGTTAATTATGCTTTTATGTTTAATTGTGGTTTTAATTATTGTATTTTGTTATGTAATGGCTTCGTAACAGGGCCCATTGTAAGTCATCCTGAGTCCCCTTTGGGGATTGAGAAGGACTGGATAGAAATGCAAGAAATAAATACAGGCAGTTCACCGGTGTCCATCTGCACTTATCATGTAACACAGTTCAAAGCTGGCTTCAAATTGTAGCAGCCAGTCAACAAACACCCTCAAAAGTGCATGAAAGAGAGCTCAGTGCTCTGTTGTTTATGTCATTACCATCCCAGCCTCAAACTGATTCCAGGATTTCTTATGTAATCATCTGCACAGCTAAACAACTTTCTTCAATACGAGGGTTGAATGAAAAGTAATGCCTCCACCTTCGTAATTCCTCAACAGATGGCAGTACTGGTATGTGGCAAGTACTGGCTTGTTCAATAGACTCTCCTCTACAGTTCCATTTTGGTGGGAAGCCTTTGCATTGAATGGTTGTGTTGTTAAAGTGTGAAGTATGGAATTCTTTGCAGGCGGTCGGTCAATACGACTTAAGCAATGTGCAGTCATTGAATTCTTGACAGCAGAAGGTGTCACCCCAAAGAAGATTCATCAGAGAATGCAAGCTGTTTATGGTGATTGTGTTTATGTGAATACTGTGCTTCGTTGAGCAAGAAAGTTTAAAGATGTTGAGGTGGGAACATCTGACTTGCATGACAAAGAGTTGGATGTCCTGTGACAGCAACCACCGAATTTCACAAGCAAAAGGTTGACAGATTGATTCAGGATGATCGTTGACAGAGAGAAATTTCAAGCATAATTGACATTTCACAAGAACATGTGGGTCACATTATTGCTTTGCTTGGCTATCAGAAGATTTGTGCACAATGGGTTGCGGAAACAGAGTGTTG